CCAAGTCCATGGCTGGTGGTGGTTTAGGCCCTCACATGGTGAAGGCCAGGACTGAGGCCTTCACAAGAAACATAGCCTCGGATTTAGAGGTGCTAATTCTCATCCCCGCTGCTTCAGGCTTGGCTGCAAACCCCTCCAGTGCACACTATAAGTCTTGAACTGATGAAGCCAATAGAACCACATCATTTGCAAAAAGCAGGGATGAGATTCTGCGGCCACCAAAACAGGCACCCTCTGTTCCCTGGCTGCGCCTAGAAATTCGGTCCATAAAAATGATGAACAGAATGACAAACGGCAGCCTTGGTGGAGTCCAACATGCACTTGAAACAGGTCTGACTTACTGTCGGCGATGTGAACCAAGCTCCTACTCCAGTCTTACAGGGAACGGACAGCCGGTAATGAGCCCCGCACCCCATAATCCTGAAGTATCTACAGTAACACAGGATGCCACAGGGGACACGGTTGAATGCCTTCTCCAGATCCACAAAACACATGTAGACTGGTTGGGCAAACTCCCATGAACCCTCCAACACCCCAGTGAGGATACAGAGCTCGTCCAGTGTTCCACAGCTGGGGCAAAAACCGCAGTGTTCCACCTGAATTCGAGGTTCGACTATCACCCGGATTCTCCTCTCCAGTACCCTGACATAGACTTTCCTGGGGAGGCTGAGAAGTGTGATCCCCCTATAGTTGGAACACACTCTCCAGTCCCCCTTCTTAAAAAGGGGGACCACCACCCTGGTCTGCCAGTCCAAAGGCACCGTCCCTGAACTCCATGCAATGCTGCAGAGGCGTGTCAGCCAAGACAGTCCCACAACATCCATAGACTTGAGAAACTCGGAGTGGACCTCATCCATCCCTGGAGCCTTGCCACCAAGGAGTTCCTTAACTACCTCGGCAACTTCAGCCAGGGAAATAGACAAGTTCTCTCCTGAGTCCCCAGCCCTGGCTTCCTTTATGGAATGTGCGTCGGAGGGATTGAGAAGATATTCAAAGTACTCCTTCCACTGGCTGACGACATCCTCATTTGAGGTCAGCAACACACCACCTCCACTGTAAACAGTGTTGGCAGAACACTGCTTCCCCCTCCTGAGCCACCACCAGACAGATCTCCAGAATCTCTTTGAAGCTAACCAAAAGTCTTCCTCCATGGCCTCACTGAACTCCTCCCAGAGCTGCGTCCCGCTTGGCCTGTCGGTACCTGCCAGCTGCTTCAGGAGTCCCATGAGACAGCCAGGCCCAATAGAGCTCCTTCTTCAGCTTGACGGCATCCCTTACTTGCAATGTCCAACATCATGTTTGGGGATTGCCGCCGCGACAGGCACCGGAGACCTTACAGCCACAGCTCCCAGCAGCTGCTCTGACAACAGAGGTGTAGAATATAGTCCATTCAGACTCAATGTCCCCAGTCTCCCTTAGCACCTGTTTGAAGCTCTGTCGCAGGTGGGAGACTTCTCTGACCCGGCCGCCGCCAGACATTTCCATCAGACCCTCACTATACACTTGGGCCTGCCAGGTCTATCCAGCTTTTTCCCCCGCCATCTAATCCAACTCACTACCAGGTGGTGATCAGTTGACAGCTCAGCCCCTCTCTTCGCCTGAGTGTCTAAAACATATGGCCGAAGATCAGAAGAAATGACTACAAAGTCGATCATTGACCTCCGACCTAGGGTGTCCTGGTGCCATGTGCATTGATGGACACCCCTGTTTGAACATGGTGTTTGTTATGGATAAACTATGACTAGCACAGAAATCCAATAACAACTCATCACTTGGGTTGAGATCAGGGAGGCTGTTCCTCCCAATCACGCCCCTCCAGGTATCACTGTCATTGCCCACATGGGCATTAGAGTCCCCTGAGTAGAATGACAGAGTCCCCCGTGGGAGTGCTTTCCAACACGCCCCCCTAAAAAAGGTCAGGTACTCTATACTGCCATTAGGTGCATAAGCACAAACGACAGTGAGAGACCATTCCCCAACCCGCAGGCACAAGGAATCAACCCTCTCATCCACCGGGGTAGACTCCAACACCTGACAACTGAGCTGGGGGGCTATAAGCAAGCCCACACCAGCCCGTCACCTCTCACCCTGAGCAACGCCAGAATAATGGAGGGTCCACCCTATCTCGAGAAGAATGTTTCCAGAACCCAAGCTGTGAGTGGAAGTGAGCCCGATTATATCTAGACTGTATCTCTCAACCTCCTGCACCAGCTCAGCCTCCTTCTCGACCAGTGAAGCAACATTCCAAGTCCCAAAAACCAGAGATGGCATCTGAGGTTTGAGTCGGCTGGGCACTCAGCCCCAGCCATTGCCCAAAACACAATGCACCAGCCCCTTACGGCCTCTCCAGCAGGTGGTGGGCCTACCGAAGAGTGGCTCCACATTATGGTTTCAGGCTGAGCCCGACCAGGCCATGTGGGTATAAGCCTGGCCACCGGGCGCTGGCATGCGAGCCCCTCCCCCCGGCCCCCAGGCCTGGCTCCAGGGTGGGGCCCCAGTGACCCCATACCAGGCGGGGTAAATATGAGCCTTGATTTTTTTGTTCATCATAAGTGGCCTATGAACTGCCCTTTGTCTGGTCTGTCACCCAGGACCTGTTTGCCATGAGAGACCTTACCAGGGACATATAGTCCCTGACAACATAGCTCCTTGGATCATTCAGGCACTCAAACCCCTCTACCACCACGTTAAGGTGTTGGATCCAGGGAGGGGTATTTCTACCATGTTAAACGCATTTATTTACATTAACACACCCTCTCTGTACAGTAAGTGTTGCATGCCTCTACCCGCTGGGAAGCTCATTAAATATTTAAAAGTTTAAATACCTTGATCAATGGCACCTAAATCCAGGCTAAAGTACTGATTCAGTGTATCTGCAGTGAGGTTTCCAGGCTACCTGTGTATTCTATCCTGAGATTATAGACTTGCAGGACCAGTCCTTTGGAGCTTTGTGTATCCTGATAGAGTATGCAGTGAAGCAGAGCTAATCTGTTAGTACAGTAACGCCCTCCATCTGTAATTCAGTTGAACTCTTATCTAGACAATACAGTGTAACATGTTCTGTCCTTGTTTTCTTGAGTAGAAGGCAGACACTTAACAAAATCTTTCATATTTGTCCCTTCAGCTCATATTTGATGTATTTCCCAAAAATCATTCAGGTTTATTACAGGAACACAAATATTCTGTATTTTATCAACTTTACAGTGATCTTTAATCCTTGATCTCTGTGCTGCCTATTGTTGCTCATTCACTTCAGAGGAAGTACTGTATCTATGAGAAACAGCAATGGATAAACACATTCAACTTTGCAAGAAGAATAAATGGGATGTGCTCCTATGGTAACGATGAATGAGCCAGAAAACCTAAAGTGAGGTGATTTCTCTCTCTTGAAATTACAGTAAAATGTTTGTTTAAAAGTGAGGACAGTGGTGGTGGATCATTAATCTTTTCCTAGGGTATAATAACTCCTGACTGCCCGATGCTTTCTGTGTGATACAAGGGCAGAAAAACATCATCCCCTTTGTAAATACAATTATTAAAATTACCAGGACAAAGTGCCTGCAAGGTGTCATGACTGCTTCTTAGGGTGGTAGTCAGGTGCTGTTGTGTGCTGCCAGCAAATAGCAGGAAGTAGTCCACACCCTCCTCATTTGCAGCCAGCTCTTCATCAGCGAGCTGCACTGTGATAACACACCGCCCCTGCACAGACAGGCACAGTAACAGGAAACAAAGTAGAAAGAAAAAGAGTGCACAGATACAGAGAGACAGACAAAAAACAAGAAAAACAACACATTTAGAGAAAAAAAATAATCTGCATATATATTTCAACATATGAAAATGGAGTACTGTATCACTGGCTGTAGTGACCTGACTAGTATGCTGTTTGCACAACTGGTTCTTGCATGAGTCCCACTGTACAGTACAGTTACAATAGTGTTACTGGAATAAGGTTTTCAGAACCACATGGTTCTGTAAAGCAAGCACATTTTAATCCGTGCTTATGAAGAGAAACACAGTCCCTGTTTACAATGGGTAAAATGCAGCTTGGCTGACCCAGGAAGAGGCAGACAGCTTTTAAAAAAATATGTAAATGAGCTAAAATGCATTTGGATGTGATTTACAGGCTACATTAGGAGATGGTCCAGGAAGCATACATCTACTTATGAACCACTGTGTGAACAAAAATGCTCAAGATTGCAAATGCATTCTTAACATCATTAAAGACTGTTCTGCATAACAAAGAGAAAAAAGTACTAGACCTAGTCTAACTCAATGCTCTTCTCTAGCAGCACAGTTTTCCAAGTTTACCTACAATAATCAGCCACAGACAAAAATCAAATGTGATCACAAGAGTAAAATATACATCCACAGCAGGTCTCTTAAGATGTATTTAGCATTGATTCTGATCCCAGATGTGAAAAACAATCCATTCGAGTCACAGACTGAATATGTGGACAGAAACACAGACAGAAACAGTGAACTTCAGTGTGCATTGGCCTGTGACATACACTGTAGTAGTCTATGGCCTGTGGTAAAAGCAATGCTAAAAACTGAAAGAGACTGAAGGGAGGGTTTTTTAGCTTTTTCAAAACTACTGTATATCTATACATGAAACAGTTTGTCTGCTCTAACATAAGCTGAAACAACTACTAGCTACTGACTACAGTAGTAAGCAAGCATTTGTTCTGAGAGCAAATGTTAGCATTATCATAACTACATTACTCTGCAGGCTGACAGGTTAGTCAAACAGGGTCACAACAGAAAGAAATAAGCTGACAGTCTTCTCTTACATTTTTGATTCTCATAATTGCAGTATATACAATTAACTCAATCCAAATATTTATTTCCATAGTTTGACTTATAAATCATCATTTTATGAGGATGATGAATGTTTATTCATAAAACCATCAAATCTAAATTTAATACTCCTTTTACTGGTTTCTTGTTTCAGTTGGGAACATTACACAGTCAACCAGAAACAGTGTTTTCAACTAATTCATGGCACTGTTAGTTTTCTCACTTAGCTGATTACACTTGATAAAATCTAGAGACAGCTGTCTTTAGACAGAACTCAGAGAGTGCAGACCTCCGTCAAAGACAACTCAGTTTCCCCATAATGCCATTACACCTAAAAGCAATAGCCCCATAGCTTACCCCTCATAATACGATTGTTTGGCCATGAAATCTACTGCTGGCATTTGTAATGAAGCTGATATGTTATGGCTGTGAACTGCTGCTCTCCCAGCACCTCATCTGCCAGGCCTGGGACCCTCAACAACTCCGCCCCAGCAGGTGCTGGAGTGCACTCCTGGCGGTGAGGCACACCTGCTCCCAATCAGCAGAGGATTACATAAGGAGTGCATTGGTGTGTCTCGTCAACAGATCCCTCGATGTCCAGCAAGTATTCAGTAAGCTTCCGATCTGACTAACCTGTGTTTCTTTTTGCCTTGGTGATCCCAGTATCGTTTCATGTGTTTTTTCTGAACTGTTAGCTGAACTATGAACTAAACTGAACTGAACTGAACTGTGAATTGAACTGTGAACTGAACTATTTGCTTTCTGCCATAGGAAATCCCCTTGAGTATTTTTTAGTGTGAACTATTGTTTCTGGGGAAATCTTGTCTCTGCTTTACTGAATCCTGCTGTATTCTCACCATTTTGAGTTTTCACTGTTTGTTTTAACTTTACTCTGAACCTGCACGTATGCTGCAATCTCCTCGCAAGTTTTGATCTTGAGTCTGTGTCCGAGTCCTGCATTTACTGGGTCCTCAGTTGTTATTTCTGACGGCTAGCCTTAACATAATATCAACATTAGTTTGAAAGTTATCCAAGAAAAATGATAGACATGACAGACATTTACTTGTTGGTTTAGGGGTAAAATGGGGACTTCAGTGAGTAGACCACAAGCAAAGTGGTGAAGAATTCACATTTGGGCAAGTTTCTTTTCTGCTTGTTCAACAGCTGTTTGATAAACTGCTCATTGTCTGTTACTGGCTGATTCACCCCACCCTTGGCAGAGGTAATAAAAATCAAAGGTTGTTGTCTAGAAATGACTAGCCAGATTTTTTTTTTTTACCTCTGCCAGAAGTGAAGGACATGTTGTTTTGCAATTTAAGAAAAATTTTGAGTGAAAAATCAGACACCATTATGGTGACCTGAATATATGCCATGCAAAAATGGAAAACGCCACAGGTGCAGCAAAAGTAACCGTAGGTGGTATGGGACTTAGCAAATGCTAAGGCAGTAATTATTGATTTTTGGAGCAAAGTTTAAGTCTAAAATCAGTTTAATTCTACACAATTTTTCAGGTACTGTATATTGTGTTTATTTGATAGTGTCTTGCCAGTGTGTTAGTATTACAATGTGAAATACGATTATACATAACTCATTGTGCAGTCTGCTTTTTTCCAATGTGACAATTGCCTGTGTTGTTGCTGAGCATTGCGGGGTATGATGTGGTGTCATCTGAGGACAGACTGAAGGGGAGGAGAAGCAACAAAAAATAGGGATATTGTTCAAAATTAGCTGTTTTCCACTGCAGCTTGTTGGCACCAAGAAGGGATAATGGGACATTTCATCCAACAATCTGAGACCAGAGTTGGAATCTTTTTATCAGTCTGGTCCAACATGAATAACCTGTTGTGGCAGGCAATGAAGGCCGACATTAGGAACAGCTCAACAGTCAAGGGTTAAAGCAGCTTCTTCCTTCTCTTATACAGTAGTAGCCTTAGTGCCTTGTTCCATACAGTGTGATCAGCAGGTTGACAGGAGTGAGGCTAACCAACAGCCTTGGGATTGTTTGGCAAGCTTCTGCTGCTGCTCAGCAATGTGAGGGGGAAAAATGTGTTCACAGACAACCACATAACCCAGAGGGCAAAGGCAGAGAAATGGCCAGCAGTAACCTTGTGTGAGTCAACTGAATACACTGACTTGCAGCATGAGGGATGCAGGGTTTGCTATGCACAGCCTCTACTTTATCAAATACAGCACAAGCACTGGTATAAATAAAGTTATAGATAATAATAATAATAATCACTTTTATTTACTCCGACTGGAAATTGTGGTTTGGTGCTAATGAGTGGATTTGTGAGTTTATACTCCATGTGAAAATGAACATATTGGTATGGTATTCATGCCCAGGACTCCCTTGCATCTCAGTTGGACATTCCTGGTTAAATAAAGGATCAATAATATAAATAAAATAAAATTTAAAAAACAGTTCCACATCCTCACTACAAACAAAAGAGAAGTAAAAGAAAAAATGCTTTTCTCTGTACTGCTAAAGGCAGGTAGCAAATCATCTCAGTCACACAACTAAGTGGCACTTTGAAACAATAGCTGTTAAAATTATTTCTGACAGCAAAATATCCTCTTATTTTATACAAATTAATATCCACTTGTTATAACTGAAACGTTTTCTCTCCTTACAAAAAACAACTGAAAATTGATTAAACAAACATTACAATTAACTAAAGAAATGCATTTCCTGTCAAAAATGCATGAGGATGCAGATATGCTGAAAGATCACCCTGAAAATGCCTGAAATCAATTGCTGAAACAGCTGAAGGATATGAAGAAATGGCTGAAGTTCTGTGTTGAATAATCTGAAGGATGAGATGCAATAAATACAATAACTGTCCTTGAAGAGCTGAACATTTTGATACCTGAATGGCTTTTCTAGCTAAATGTATGCTAAACTTATTAAGATGTGAAAATATTCCACCATCCATACAATAATTGTATGGATACAATTATTGTATGGATGCTGATTCAGCATCCATACCTTGTATTCCTGGTCTTTATTATTATTGTACGGATGCTGAGTCAGCATCCATACTATGTTATCCTGGTCTTTATTATTGTATGGATACTGATTCAGCATCCATACTATGTTTCCCAATTATTTATTAATTTATTATTATTATTATTATTATTCCGTACGTTTTTTGGCACTTAACTACTTCAGCATACTTTCAGCTGGAAAAGCCATTCAGGTATCAAAATGTTCGGCTTTTTCAGGACATGCGCGGATGTATACAACTTTTTTGTAACTTTTATACTTTTTAAAATATTCAGCTTTATACTGAAAATTTTTCCCCATTCAAATGAATGGGGAAATTTTTACTTCTTCAAACTTTCAGCTATTTCAGCTATCGTATCAAAATGTTCAGCATTTTCAGGGTGATTTTTCAGCACTCAGCATCCATACGCATTTTCTTCAGAAAATGCAATTTTCTAGTTATTATTCTGGTTTCTTCCGTCCATTTTTTGGCACTTAATTTTTTCAGCATACTTTCAGCTTTGAAAACCGTTCAGGTATCGACATGTTCAGCTTTTTAAAGACATTTATGCTATTATTTTTCTTGTTTCTAACCTTTATACTTTTTAAGCTATTTAGTGTCTTTCAGCAAAATTTTGCCCATTCAAATGAATAGGAAAAATTCAACTTCAGCATACTTTCAGCTATCAAAACGTTCAGCTCTTCAAGGACATTCATGCGATTTTTCAGCAGTCAGCATCCATCTGCATTTTCTTCACAAAATGCAATTTTCTAGTTAACAGCTGAAATTTTGATTTTAGCTGAATTTGTGCATAACATTTTTTTCCTTTAATTTGAATGTGGTAAAATTTGCTAAAAGAAAGCTGAATATTTTAAAAAGTATAAATGTTACAAAAACAAAAAATACAAGCAACAATGT